ATGACACCACCTCGCTCCGAAGAGCAATTTCCCAAAAATTGCTGACCTCAACATTGAAGTGATCAGTCTTTTAGTGCTTTATGATCATGACCGTATATACAAGAAAAGCCGGGGGAATTGCGTTCGAATGAATTAGTTCATGATGGAGAAAAGAGAACAAAACCAGTTAAAATTTAATAAACAACAGAAACCAGTAGAAAATTGAATTAAAACTAACAGACAAAACACATCTGTGAAACTAAGCTCACTTGCGCAGGTTATCTTTTCGTTATGACCTATTTAGCATTGACATCGATATAAGCCACACCGTGAGTAACGGCTTTCGCTGGGGTGGAACTCTGAAAGAATGTCTTCATCTGCTGCTTCTGACTGCTTTCACACCAGTCGACGAAGTGATCTCGTTCCCATTGAAGTGAGGTTTCCTTGTCCTCATCATTCGAGAGTGGTGACAAATCTGTTACGTCGAATGGAGCTGGAATCAGTGGTGGCTGAAAAAAGATGTCTCACGGATTACGTACGACAACTAAGCTGAAGCTGTTAATTGTCCGGTGCACTGCGGAAAGTCAAAGCTCTTGTTCAAGATAAACTCCATAACTCCAAAACTCCATTGTGGCGCTAGTGGCGTGCTATAACGAAGTAGCGCCCAAGTTGACACTGAGGGACATAAGCAAAGAGCCATGGAGAAACACCACAAGGGCCCTTGGCAGCCTCACTTAAAGGCACGATAAATCCCCAAGACGGCTTGGATCAATACTCCTGGCAGGATAGATTCTCGCGACCTTGGGCAGGCTGGATGTAGCTGCTTCCCCGAGAAAGGTGCCCTTATAAGGCCCTATCAAGCCACAACTTTACGTCCCAAACGCCCGCCACGCCGCCCGCCCACAAATGGACGACCGTTCCTGACGCTCGTATTCATTCATTTGCTGAAGCAAATTATGAAGCGAAGGGATTGGTATGAAGCGGCCGTGATGCTGCATGCATATATGGGTACACATATGCAGCCGTATCTTCTATAGCGGTGATTGTAAGATGCCTACGGAAAACTCGTCCGAAATCGATTTACAAGTCACTGAGAACGAAGGCTTTTTTCGCAAGGGATCCTGTTTCCTCCGTTCTTTCGCTATTTCAACACTATACAGCACCCTACTAGCATTTTAGGCTAACCATGAGTAGGAAACCATCGTGCCAGCTGCCTTTAAGAGTTATCCGGACCTGCAAGTTTTCAGTTCAAAAATCGGATCCCGGTTGCCCAACGTTGCACAAGGAAGGCGCACAAGGCGCTACTGTGTTGATATAGATCATTTACATTTGGGACAATTGAATCAACAAAACAAGTAAAGCGAGAAAGAAACTTAACGGAGCACCTTATGTACCGGTGAGCCTAATACCCCAAGAAATAGAGTAGAACCTCACTACTGTCCATACGTTTTGAGCGGGGATAAAAGTAGTGAGGACCCGCTGGCCCATTTTGGAGAGAAAGAACTGGCATCCCACCTGAATTGATAGACTCCTGGCTTTCTCCCAGTCCACACCATCGAACCATTTCGGGAGCAAATATCCACGCCTCGTTTTGACGGGTCACGATCCAGAAGTGATAAGATTAGATCTCTGAAGAATGGTTGTCTCAGATGGAATAAATAAATTTTCGACAGTGAGAACTCTTGCCATCAACATTCCATCATCATCGGTGAACTAGACAGTAGGACGTGAAATCCAAAAGCACAGTCATTAGCCCCGCAAACGATAGGGCGGTGACGGGGCGCGTATTGGAGCGCAGCCAGAGCGGCCGTCTTCCAAGAATGACGCCATGGTGAGTTCGTTCGCTGCAGTTGGTGGGAAATCTGCCCTGGCTACCATCCAAGTCCAAGAGCATATCCACAAGTTACATGCGTCTGAAGGGAGCGGGCCGGTATCCGCAACTGATTGTAAAGTGGCGAAAGTGTGACGCAGACGGACATTTAGCCTACATGCCATAGCCTGCCACCCCCATCTTGGCCTATTGTACCATATTTCAACGAGGACCCTGACCTAAATCAGAACATTGTCTATTTGAAGCATTTTTTTTATCTGTGTGGAACGAACCCCTCTAGCTCTAATAAGTTGTTCCGACTCTCTTCTCAAGGTTTCGGCTGTGCAAGAAAGGCAGCAGAGGGCGGATTGGTCAAGGTTCCCTCAATGTTCCTGTCCTCCCTGAACGAAGCCATGCGCGGCGCGTAAATAGTCGCCCCACTACGTAAATACTGGAATGCTGCTGGTCATGAAAATTCCCTCTACGTAGAGCATTTATATTTTGAAATGAACAAAAACTGAAACGAACTTTGAATGGGAGGAAAAGCTCAGAATAAGAGAGCTCAACTTGCTGCGTCTTACATCCCGAAGAGAGGAAGGCGTGATTACGATTTCATTTGAAACGGCGGCTGCGCTTTTGATGGGATATTGTCTTTTCAGGAAGAGTGCATTCCTTCTAGCACAAGAATGATGAAAGTGACTTCACATGGGCCGATACACCGAATACTACTTTCATTCAAAATTTGCTGACATTTGAAGGCAATTTTTCCTACACTTGCGCGGACAGAACAATGTAAATGCCAGCGCTCTTATGCTCCCAGTAGAATCTATAGCCAATTCTATGCCCCAGAGGCCAAAACGGGCTATTTCTTGGCAACGAAAACGACCTGAGATTCGACTCTGGTTTCGGCACTCCGTAAGTGGTACAGGCGCTCCACTGTTTCCGCCCTAAAGACATATCTTGCGACCACCTAGCCATTGCTCGACTGACCAACACCGCCCCACTCCATACTTTGGGTTACGGAAGCTAGATAGTCGCCGCACAGGGTCTTCACGTTCAAATGAGAGAGTATGAATAGCGCTCAAATCACGCACAGCAATGACCTCTTCCTACGCACTCGTATGGGCACCTTCAATGTCTTACCCTTTGGAACGTAAACTCAAGAGAACTTTTCTATCATTTCAACCCCCCCGACACTTAATACCCGATGGAAATAAGGCGTTCGTTTTCAAGGGAAAACTTTCTTTTTCTTCACAAAGGCAAGGGCCGATGTGCGCTGTCATCCCACACACGACCGAACTTTGCGCGTCGCTACAGCGGCTCCCGAATTTTTTTTAATGGGCTTGGCCGTAAGTAAAGACGCTCATGACTGAAAGCTTTCTCCACGAACGATGGATTGTTTTAGCGATGAGTCTTAACTATTCAATAGAGAATTTCTTACTCTATAAGGGAGTGTCTTTAATTATCCAACTTTGACAAGTGAAATACAGAAGTCAGGTTCAAGAAATGAGCATTTTCGACATATTCTTTCGATCGAGATGCGTAGGCCGAATAAGCTCAAATGAGAAATATGACTGGGAACCGATTTCTACCAGAATGGCTGGAAAGTGATCTTGGTCTTTTGAAAATGACAATGCCGAACTAGTAGATATGTATGTACCGATGGTCCAGTTGTGTTGTACAAGGAGAGTGATTCAGATTATCCACTAATTATCCACAACAAATAATGAGAGAATATTCCAGGGGTGCATAAATAGCAGCATTTAGCGTCAACTCCACACAATAGGAACGATTCGAAGAGGTCCTGTGCATGGGTTTCTCGTCGATGTCCACGGGTTTTACGGGAATGCACATTTAAAAAAGAAATTGCCATTTTTCAATGCAAACCGGTTCGTGGCTACCGCATGAAGCATTTGGTCTTGAAAATACATCAAGAATCTTCGGAAAGAACAGCTTCGGCGTCTTTAGCCATTCAGCGTCGAAGCCACAAGTGTACGGTCACCCACGAGAAGGATCTTTGCCATGTGCAAGGAAAATGGGTTCGCAGCGACAGTAGCGTGACGTTTTCTTCACTAAAAAGGCACGGGAACGAAAAAAGGCGGTGGTGGTACCCGAGTGTCGCCTATATACTCCGCGCGCGCTACCTTCAAGATGCAGCACTTGCGTCGATACCAAGGCTCCGCAGCGAAAGATTTACGCAGTGGTAGAGAAAAAGGTCCGAAAAGTGGCGCGTTTCTCGATGGTGTAGCTTTGTGTGGCGTGGAGGCATAGCCAGTGTGCCACCAGACCTGCATTCCCTTTCCCACACAAGGGAAAGAACAGGATCCACAGGTGACTGTACAATTTGCCCCTAACGCAAAAAAGCAGCGTTGAAAATGCTCGTCATAAACATCAATAAAATGAGGATTCCCGCGAACAACAAACATTGTGGCAAGAACAGAAGTCTCTATCGAACAGTAATGAAGCATTGATAAAAGAATAAGTGACAACAGAAGCAATTCGCAGATTGACGCGCGAGAAACGCCATAATGCGTAAAGCAAACAGCCGCATCATTTCACGTTACTAGTCCAATATCTCAAAAAAGTCGCCTGAAAGTCGGTTAGTCAAATGACTAGAGAATTGAATAACCCATATAAGCAGAGCATATTTTGACTCCCGCACCATTTCATTTTTTCGCCAAAGGCGCCCATTTTACGCAAAACGTCTCCTTCACTCCTACACTACGGCAAAGATAAATACCGTCTCCGAAATAAGGATGCCCGAAGTTGATAAAATCACTGGAAGCCGCCTGAGGCGTCGGTCGTTTAGGGACTCGCGACTGCCCAGCGCTTCGTTTCAGCGCGATTGACGGATCGCAATGGGCCATGCTTCCCGCTACATCAATCGCGTCTAACGCGCGACTGAAGCGCTTCCACTGTGAAGTCGGAACGCTGCCTGAAGTTTGTGGCGCAGGCGCCAAAAACTAATGTTTTGTAATTAGGGCAGTGAACACGCCTTGCAGGCCAGATTTCAACAAGAAACTTGTTGATATACTGGGATAGTAATTTATTATTTATTTATTCTACACTGTAATAGTGCAACTAGAAATAAATAAAGCAGATTACTCATTAACCAACTAGCCAATATGGTGCAACTGGGGCTAGATGCTGAGTTTTAATCGCTAAAGGAAAAAAAACTGAATGCTACGGAGATCGAGCTCGTGCTAGACTATTAGAAGGGTATACAATAATGTAATAATGACGAACTACGTGATAAAGACCTCTTAATGTGTACCTCAACGTCTGGATTCCTCAACTGCGACATTAATGTATTCAGAGCAGCCGCTCTCTTATCCGGAAAGTCGTCGAAAAACCTAAATAAGCATGTACACCACTGATTCTAGACGTTGGTAGAGCGGCCCAAAATTCAAAAATGGGTTGTCGAGAAACTTTGCTTTGGGTAGCGCGGGCTATGCGAGTAACACAACGTCATGACCGCTGGCTCAAGCTCATGAACGAAATCACCTGAGTACAATCTGAATAGCCAATTTCTTCACGGATATGTCATTATTTTTTACAGCATCAATGCAGTCTTGGAAATCAGGCTGAATCCTAAAACATCAACCATCTGTCGGGTATGGAATAGCACCGAATATGGAACTCACATGACTTTCCTCTAACCGTAGGCACACATCATATAGGGAAGGAACATCCAGGATCATCCGTAATCGAGCCTCCTAGAGACTTACGTTGTCCAAAACGCTTTCTTGCTGACCAGCGCAGGTTACGGGGCAGATGTCAACCGAAATTTCTCTAGCTATGAGAATTAGACGACGAGGCGGTTATGACGTGTGCCGGCCGTCGCCGGGAGATGGGCGTGTACGCTCGTCGTCTGTCCTCTCCTGCAAGGCGGTCTCTCGTAGGAAGAAGACACGTGAAGTGATTTCAGCCACGAGAGGTTGTTAAAACTGAAATGAGATTAACAGGATTTAAAGCTGAAACAAGGGAAAGGTGGACGCCTTGAATAACAGGAATGACAGGAAAACCACGCAACACAAGTGTTAGGCTAGGTAGTCCACCCAGGTTACTGAGTAAGATAAAGACTAAAGTCTTCGCCGTTTACCAATCCCATCGTGTGGGGTGCCGGCCACCGCATTCTACTTCCTTTCAGGAGTCGCAGTGGGCTCATGATGCATTGTGGGCCGTATACAATGAGGGGGGGTGCGGGGTCTTGGGGGGTCAGCCCGGTGTACTAAAGTCAGTGTTATTATCCGTCTCAGCACGAAACTCCTGCCAATTTATTTGGCGAAGGGTTAGAAGGCTTCGCCGGTTGGCCTGAGCGGGAAATCGACCGGAAGTTGACCGGAAGTCTACCTTCTTAGATTTTCTGGCTAGAAGACTGGCTCATTAGTTGTAACTAATCCCATTTAATATTATAAAAGTTCTTTGATAAACTCAGTGTTATCAATTGCATGGCAGAACAAAAGTCTTAGTTAACAGATCACCAAAACCTTGTCCATTCCTTTCCTAGCTTTTGAACAAAGTGAAGCAAAGTGCCTAGTATTTCCGTTGCTATCGGGGCTCACGGTTTTAAAAGCATGAATGGCATGTATAATGGCTGGTGAGTCTCCAATTATTTTTTCAGCAAAACCAATTCCACCTCAATGTAATAGAAGCAAGCGAGAAGGGTTGAGTTCGTTCTTACAGTCAAGATCTTCTCGGTAATCCCTATTTTCTTAACGAACCAGTAGCATCAGAGAGTGACCAGTCACGAGCGACGCACGCGATAATCATGTGAATTGGTGGTTGCGGCGATGGACACCCCTTCTGTCTGCGCTCAAGCCTTTCTAAGCGGAGACGCAGCGTCGACGAGGGTGTGCGAGACGACCGACGACGCGACAAATTGCTGAGTCACCCATTGCCGCGGTTGACAAAAGCCCGTAGACCCGTTGAAAGGAGCGTTACGTAAAACCACCAGTCGCTGGTGTTATTGCGTACCGCAAGAAACTACCTAGCCTCACGCCTAAATTTCAACTCAGGCCTAACGAATGTACATATAGTATACATAGTTCGCTGCAAATGGTTGGGCGTGTCACGCGGGATGACGTTCTGGCGCCGCCGTTGCCAAACCCGCTCTCCACAAAACTTGTTAAAGCGCAGCATGGTGAATTGCTGTATCATGTCGTTCGTATTACTGTTTTCTACCACTTTTTGTCGCATGCGCGCTTCTACAGGGAGCTAGAGAGCGCTCTGACAGGGTGACACACTCATACTGTGCCTCTCATCTACGCCCACCACACCGTCGCGCGCAGCGCTCTCAACTAGAGATGTCGTACCTCGTATCACCGGGCTCTTCGTCACTTTAACACACTGTTCATACAAACACTCACCACTTTCTTCTTCAAGGCAAATTGACCACTCTTTTTAGACCGGGCAGTTCACCCTCCCGGTCACGTCAGACACCGCTGCGAGCCCTGCCTCGACGGTCACGCTACTTGTCGCCGCGGACATAGATTTTCAACACATGGCCGACTCCGCCCAGTCTTTAAAAGGGTTTGTTGCGAACTTCGAAATTTCATAACTTTACAGCTTTTTAATTTCACATCCACTCTTTGCGCAACGAAGATATTCGTAACCGCGCATTCATGTTCCGACAATTCAGGCTCAGCCCTCTCGGCCACGGGCCCACTTGCTTTTTTGCGTTTGATAATTTTCAAAATTTTTTGCATTTTTTGGACTGCCCCATAAGCCCCCCCCCGCCACTGTGAGAGGCTCCGCCCACTTTGAAGAAGCCCCGCCCACTTTTCAAAAATGGTGCAGATCGGCAGTATAGAGCCATGGCTTGCATGGCAAGGGTATTGCTGGTCATTAGGAACAAACTTTGCCTGATTTATTTGTTCCGAGTGACGGACGAGACCCTAGCATGCAAGCCAAGGCTCTATACTGCCGATCTGCACCATTTTTGAAAAGTGGGCGGGGCTTCTTCAAAGTGGGCGGAGCCTCTCACAGTGGGCGGGGCTTCGGGGCAGTCCAAAAATGCAAAAATTTTGAAAAAAATATCAAAATTCCGCAAAAAGCAAGTGGGCGTGGCCAAGGGGGCGGAGCCTGAATTGCCGGAGCATGAATGCGCGGTTACGAGTATCTTCGTTGCGCAAAGAGTGGATGTGAAATTAAAAAGTTGTAAAGTTATGAAATTTCGAAGTTCGCAACAAACTTTAAAGAATGGGCGGAGTCAGTCATGTGTTGAAATCTATGTCCGCGCTGACAAGTAGGCGTGACCGTCGGGGCAGGGTTCGCAGGTGGTGTCTGGCGTGATCTGGTTGGTGAACTGCCTGGTCTAAGAAGAGTGGTGAATTTGCTTGATGGTGAATTTAAAGTGGAAATGGTATATCAAACAGCAAATAGATATATCTGTTGGGAACCTTTCTGAACAACAGTTTCACCCCTTCACATCTTTGCACTCAGCATTTGGGACCAGACCAGCTAACAGCTCCTAGAGGTTGACTCAGGACCCCTTGAAGACAATGCCAGTTGATAGGATGATGTAGATGTTTATCTAGGGGTAGCTCCATGTTAAACATAAGAACATTTTCTGCTGCTGAACGATACTTTGCATATAATTCTGATGTGTCGCGGAAACTAGATGGCAGTAGTATAGGCAGAGAATATTTATTAGGAATTATTAGGTCATCCCATTCAAAAGTGCCGTGACATATAGAGGAATGGCAGAAAAGCAAAGGGGATAGGGAAGCGGGCTACTATACCATTTGGAGGCTAGTACCTTCAGCTTCAGCTGTCTATCGTGAAATTTGGCGAACCTACCCACAGAGAAAGCTTTCGAGTAAATTGAAAAAGCTCGAGGGGTGAAAAACAGCGCCCGATTTTCAAATCAGACGTCATAAGAGGGAAGTGCGCTGCTCAAATTCGACCGGCGCCGGACCAGTAGTTGTGTGTAATGGTGTTCTCGAAATACAAGGTGGAAGGTTTGGTTCAGGAGCCCGAAGAAGGAAGAAAGGAAAAAATTTGTTGTCGTGGATGGTCCCATAATGTTCATCCTGCACAAGAAAAAAGGGTGGATGAAGTCAAGCGCTGAATGTCTGATCACAGAGCCTGGACCTTTGTCGAGCTTCCCCGCGAGTCTGACATCCCAGCTGCAACTGCTGCCCGAGTTATGTCCGATAAACTGAGGCGGGCAAGTGACATTACTGTATTATATCCTCCGTATTACTCGTTTTCTACCACTTTTTGTCGCATACGCGTTTCAACAAAAAGGCTGAGAACGGCTTCAACAGTGTGCACACTCATACTGGCTGACACGCCCCACCGGTCCGCAATGATGAGGACTGTACCTAACTTGGAGCCAAAATATTACTTTTTTATCTATTCTCCTCTTGTTTTATTCGAAGAAAAACCGACGACACTCTTGAATGGGATGACCTAATTAACACACTTGCTCGAAATGACGGGTCTATACACTCACTCGAGATCACTATTTGTTATTGTGAACAAAAGATATTCTCACGGTAGGGTAGATCGCTCCGACATCTAACACCTTCCTTTTTTAGAATGGAAAGCAAGATGATCAGATATCAGGAACATGTTGAACCCTTGCGTGGTTCATTTGAAGCCGTGAAAGAGGACGTTGCGTGCGTCGATCCGTCGTGGCTGGTTATCTTGTTCGTCGTTGTTGACGTGACGGCGTTTGGTCATAACGAAGTTATTGTAGTTGGCAGTAAAGTTGACGATTGCAGTGATGATTTGGCACGTCGGACAAACATTTTGTTTCCAAGCAGGACGTTGTAAAGGGTTCGTCCTACTCTCTGATTTCCACTGTGCCATCCCTATTCTCGTGCCGACGTGGGATCGATATGGCTGAGAACACGTCTTCGGGCGGGCACGCTGCTTCTTGAACAGTAGTTCATTGGAGGGTAACGCATTTGCCTTCGTTGTGGAGTCGGCTTGAGCACGAGAGTTCGTGATTCTCCTTCTATGAAGAGTTTGAATGTAAGTTCAAGGGACTTACGTAAGCTAACGTGGGAGTACTGTAGCTTGATCATTCGATGCCCGCGAACGCCGTTCGCTGACGAACGGACCGGTGAATTTTGTTCCATTTGCTTTGCCGCGCAGCTGGGCAGCTGCACCGTAATGGGCATTACCAAATCGGGCCAATTTGTTGTTTCCACTGCTGCAATACTTTCTTTTCTCGAGCTTCAATTTCGGCCTCGTTTTTTTTCCTTTTTGGGATTTTCCTTGTTTTGACATCGTTCTTACCAGCCGGGTGGCTTGTGAAGCCAGTAACAGATCTTTCCTAGAGCAGGTTTTGAGTTGGTTGAGTTGTGGTTTTATGTCAGTGGCGCAGCGAGTTTCTTTTTCGCAGCTGGGTAGACCGTGTTCCGGACTGCCTCATTGTTTGGCTGCGTTTATACTTTGCGGCAGCGTAGCGTAGCGCTTCCAGCGTACGCCAGCGGCAGTGTCGGGGAAAGGATAGATATCGATCTAGCGTTCCCAGCGTCACCAGCGTACGCTAGCGTAACGCTAGAGTATTCTAGCGTTACGCCAGCGCTATCGATCTAGCGCTCCCAGCGTTTCGCCAGCGTTTCACCAGCGTTCTGCTAGCGTTTGCAGCGGCAGGGAGTAGAGACTATGGGAGAGTAGGAGAGTACAAAACACATCGACACATGTACTCTCCTACTCTCCCATAGTCTCTACAAAACACATCGAC